TTTTTTGGATCAGGCTTTAAAGGATGAACATGTTAAAGATCATGATAATGAATTAATTTTCACACATCTCCATGAACAGATACTTTATATACGGATTAAATCAGGAGAGGAACCTGGTTCTGGGCATGTTATTAGAGTTAAAGACAAGAAGTTGATGCCTTTGTAAATACTTTGTAGCATCTCAAAACTCATGTATAAAGTTCTATGAACTTTTGTGGGTAATATCTGTTGATTTTCAACAGTTACATCATGTGGCATCAAGTCTGAATGCCTGAAAGGTCAGTTGCTTTTGTTTTCAATTCAATTCAATTCAGTTTTATTTATATAGTGCCACATCACAACAACAGTTGTCTCACAGCTTTCCAAACAGAGCAGGTCAGACCCTACTCTGAAGTTAATTACAGAAACCCAACAATTCCCACCATGAGCAAGCACTAGGCGACACAGGCAAGGAAAAACTTCCTTTTAACAGGCAGAAACCTGGAGCAGAACCATGGCTCAGGGTGGGGGGTGAGAGAGAGAGGCAACCAACACAGCAACACGCAGACTAGATGAAAAATGGCAATGATATTAATACTAATGATGATGGTAGAAGTTATGACAGCAACAGAGCAGGAACACGGGGGCAGCAGGAAACTCCCAACCACAGATCCAGACCCCACAGATCCAGAGCCAGGAATATCTGCAGAAAGTGTTAGGAGGAGAGAGAAGGGGGACGAGAAAGCACACGACTACAGGGATAGGAGAGAGTCCAGTTAGTAACAGTGTTAATGGAATGAGGTTGCTAGGGGAGGGAGGGAGGGAGAGAAAGGAAAGGGTTTTAGTGTTTTAGTGTTTTAGTGTTCAGACAAACACTGTCCCGGTTCCACCTTCTTCTGTCAGCCTCCTCCCACCCCAAACAGACTCTCCTCCCTCAATTTGATCCTGAAAGTGGCTGAAAGCAGCTGGTTTGTAGAGGAAATTTTCAGATATACAGTAAAGAGTCAAAATGACATCAGGATGTAAGTATCGTGGTCCAAAAAATAATATTTTAAAAGTAGAATCTTGAAGGAGACTTTTCACATCCAGGTGTTTTGTTTGATTATTTTATTCATTTGATTTTAATTCATATCAATCGTAAAAACACACAAAAAGGAAAACTGTAATAAACTGTTAAAAGTCTCTTCATGAGTCGCTCTCCAACAGAGATATATAGACATGTATTATGTATGTTTATGTTTCTAAAGCTGATCTCTGATTATCTCAGAAACAGAGGCAGACTCCTCAGTCCCTCAGTTCAGATGCAGTTTCACAATGAACTCTTCTGTATTTAGCTGTTATAAAGCGCTGTACACATTGTGGAAAACAGCTTTCTAATGTCTCATTCCAATATGCATCTGAACATAACTCTGAGACGGAGTCAAAGGTCAGTCAAGGCTCCCAGCTGACAGCTTATTCAGTCTGTTCTGCTTCATGCCTCAACCAGTTTGTGCTGTTTTCATTTTTGTGCTTTTTTCATGACATAAGACAGAGTTGTAAAGGAGCAACTTCAGGAGATAACAACGGTTTGTGCTTTTTTTTTTATGACAACACTGTTCAAAGTTCATTTTATTTATTTATCACTGAAAGCATTGTCTGAGAAACCAAAAGTCCATTTTGCCTCCTGGCTGTCAGGCAAAATGACTATGATGATACAGCATAATTCATAAAACATGAGTGGGTCAGTGAAGGCTTTTTTCTCCAGGAACAAACCAAAACAGGCCGGTTCATGGAGCTCTGTTAGCTTGAGCCTCTTTGAGGTGGTTTGTTCTGTAGAAACATCCAGCAGGTTTCTGTGGACAGCATTTAAAAACAACTAAATCTTTACATCTGTGTCTCCACCTCTGATGTCTCTGATGCTGCAGCAACTCAAAAAGTTTCCGTGGTTCTCTTATTTGTGCGCTTCGTTCCCATAAAACTATCACTCTGCTTTGGCCCCACCAGCAAACTCCTGCTGGCCTCCAAGAATTTTGTTTTTACTTCTTTAGTGGAAATCTGCCCCCAGACCACAGGGAGCCAACTTCCTGAGCTGCTCACAGTCAGAACCAGTGAGAGCTTTAAACCAAATACCAGCTTTGTGCTGGTTCTGTTTCAGTCTGAGGCCCAAATGCAGCTGGAGGATTTCTGTCCTCTGACAAACTGGGAAACGTTCATTTTTGTTTCTTTATCAATTAAATTCTTAGCTGGTAAAATACAGACTAAAAACTGTTGTTTTGTACTTAACTTTCCTCAAAGCTTTGCATGAATTTGATCCTGAAAGTGTCTGAAAGCAGCTGCTTTGTAGAGAAAAAACAAAGACAATAAAGAGTCAAAAATGTATTTTCAACATAGACATTGAAACATTTTGATGGGTCAAGCCCACAAACAGGAAGCAGAAATAACCACAAAAGTAAATGTTAACAATCTGGGGAAGTGAAGAAAACTGCTCAAGGATGGAAAAGAGTCCGACAGCTCGACAGAAGAGGAACCAGGACAGAAACTGCACAGGAGGCTATTTCATCCAACTGTCACTCCTTACGCATGCTTACAATGTTTGCCAAAAGTATAATCTGTCTTTGATTACTTCAGATCTGCTGGCGGAGGTTTTCCCTGCTTTGTGCTGGTTCTGTGTTTCAGTCTGAGGCCCAAATGCAGCTGGAGGATTTCTGTCCTCTGAGAAACAGGGAAATGTGTATTTTGGTAAAATACAGACTAAAAACTGTCGGTTTGTTCTTAACTTTCTTCAAAGTCTCCAACACTTGTTTACTGACCGAGTGGAGACAGAGGAGCTGCAATAAACAGGATCATCTGTGTTGTAGTCCTACTGACTGAGAGGAAAAACCTGGGCCTGCAAGCAGAAGAGGTCTGCGTCATGCATATTAGACTTAGACTTAGAAAACTTTACTATAAACGAAACCTGAACCTGTCAAACCCATTTTATGCAGAAGTCCATGACAGTCACACTCATCTGTCCCTGTGAGGTGGTTCCTCTTTCTCTGTGTAAAATACTGAGAAACGTCCCTGTTGCTGCTTCAGTTCATGTTTTCTGTCTGAGGAGGATCATAAAACATTTCATCTGTCTCACCAGGGTCAGTATGCTGTGAGGAGGAAGGAGAAACCTGAAGGTAAAGAGCTGCTGTCGGTAGAATCGTGTTGTTGGGGAGCTGCTGCTGCTTT